TTCATCATATTCCTAGATTTTGTTTCTGGTAACCAGGCTATGCCTAGATTTTGTTTCTGGTAACCAGGCTATGCATAGATTTTGTTTCTGGTAACCAGGCTATGCATAGATTTTGTGCACTGACCCGGACAGTTCTGGAAAGCGGCCACTGAAGAGCTCTCATTTCCTTTTAAACATATTATGTAAATGTCACTTGAAAATGTTGCCATATATACATTAGTAGTTATACAGACCAACATTATGCATATCACTATTTTGCTGAATTAACTTGGAAGCAGCAAAGACAATGAGACTACAATACAAGATTAGTACGGTAATGATGTACCTGCTCTATTTTTATTTTAAATGTTACCAGGAACACATTCTTTATTGCATACAATCATTTCACCTCCATGGTTTGACTGATTACCTTTTTACAACATCATGATAAATGTTAGAAAATGATAGGATTGTTTCAATATTAATGCAAACACGGTTTTATAATGGCCACAGCTTGCTACCATAATGGTATGCTTATCAACATCTGCTACAGATTAATTGTACTGCAACATCAGACAGGTGTGACATATTGGGAATCTTTGTCTGAATTTAACACGTGTTACTTCTTTATTTCTGACTCTGCTTTAATTAATCTTATGCTGGGGATTGACCATATTCATGAGATTGTATCAATGCTTATTTTGTTGAGACAACTTCTCTGATTGGTCTATTTCAGAATTAATCACCAATCACATGCTAGGTTACATGATTACATTGACATTTTTTTTCTTTCTCTAGTTTATTAGGTTTCATAGTAGTGATATTTGAAGCACCAATTTGCTGCCAGTGGTTGGAATTTGTAGATAAAATTACAAATTGGGTTGATGGAAAGCCTTACTGGCAAAGAGGTGTTGCTTATGTAGTGTAAGTAACGGGGTATGTCTGTAGTTATAGTATAACACATGTATGTATACAGAAACACTGAGACATTCAAAATTTAATTATACCGTGTACTTTTATACTTTCCTGACAAACTTAATTAATCTTTGATAATAACAATCATTATAATTTCTCCTGGAGACAAAAGTCGTTACTTTAAAGGGCGATGGTCACCACATAGCATGTGTTCAAAATTGACAATGTATTTTAGACATGCTGTGTCCAGTGCTATGAGTCCCATAGGACTCAGTGCGACGACCATTGCCTTTCAAACCTGCGATTTTTTTTTCAGTTTACCATAACAAATTATCAAATGTAAAATAGAGAAAAAAGGTATTTTATTTTCACCGACTTGTTCCATCAGCAAAAATGAATTCTAAGTGAAAATTATGTGCTTTACAGTATGTATAGTTTGAGTTTGCTCTCAGCCATTATGCGTAGTGGGTCGTCCATTATTTTTCAATTATGCATATACATCTATGCTAATATGCCAGTGAAATGCTCACAGCTACAAAGTTTTCAAAGTTTGTAGTATATCTCTATATCACTGTATATTGTACGTCTACTCATTTGGTATTCTTTGTTTGTTTTATTCCAGATCAGCAATTATACCTATGTTGTTTTGTTTTTCACTAACAACTATGTTAGGATCAGGTTTTGTATTCGTCACTGGGTCACTCTATGGCCTCATGGCTATTGGCAAAAAGTAAGTTTGAACCCACCAATTTTCTTCTTTAGTGATATGTCTTTTAAAATAGTAGCAGGATGTCAGCACTAGCACTTGCAATTTGCACATACAAAAAAGACAGGCGGGTCAACAGTGACATTCAATGTCTGGATCTGTCGCCTGGCACAAAAAATATTAAAAAAAAAAATAGTAGCAGGATATCAGCACTAGCACTTGCAATTTGCACATATAAAAAAAAGACAGGAGAGACAACAGTGACATTCAATGTCCGGAACTGTTGCCTGGCAGAAAAAATATTTAAAAAAAAAAAAAATAGTAGCAGGATGAAGGCTTGTCATAATTATGTATTCAGAGTGTCATGTACATGTTAACGAGATCTTAATCAACTTATTTTGATTACAGGACGTTGTATAGCAAATACATTTTTCATTCATTTTTGCATTACATATCAGTGGATGTGCAATGTACTGACATATCAAGTGCCGCCTTGTATTTTGCTTAATATAAAAGAAAACAAAAGCATGACATACGTATGAAACTAATCATATCAAAAGAAATATGAAAACAACAAAATGGTTGCCTATTCAGAATAAATCAGTGTAGTATAATAGCATGCCTGAGTAACTGTTAACATTTTTATTTTTTGGCAACAAACATGACTGACAGTCACTCAGAAACAGACACAAAACCTAAAACAAAGGTTCCTGTTTGGATATATGATTGTGAGTAATTAGTAATCACGTGACACATTCATTTACATATGTATAGACTTAATACCTAAGTCAGATAGAGGATATTTGATGAGGAAGTTTAATTATAAGCCTGTTTAGAGGTCATACCTTAGTTAAACTATAGTGCCAACAAACTTATTAAATGTATAAGTTGTGTTCATGCACAGCTCCTTAGCATGGGCTAAGAGATCAAATTCCTCAGCCTGTGCTAAGAAACCGTGCATGAACGCTTAGCACGGGCTAAGGAATGCTAAGTACGGGTAAAATCTGACCCGATTTTAAGACTTCGTCCAGACCCTGAGCACGGGCTATTTAAGTGTGCGCGAATGCTTAGCCCAGGGCTCTGTGGCAACCTTTGGGTGTGAATATTAAGCATGTGATCAAATATATGAAACTTTCTCCTTTCCAAAATGGCAACCGAGCTCTATACAAAACTTCGTTTCCTTGCAAAAAATAGTGTCAAAGAGACAAAAGCTTTACTGAGTATATGGAAAGACGACGAAATCTTGAGACAGTTGGACTCCTTGCCGAGGAACAGAAAAAATGCTCACCAGGATATACAAGCTAAATTGGATGGATTTTTCATAAACAGCAGCTTAACAAAGGTCACCAACTGATGGCGTCCCTTAGCACATGCTAAGGAATGGCCCTCCCAGTGCGTGGACACAATTGTTTCTAGCCGAAATGCAAATATATGAGATAAGCCTAAATCAGCTTAAATCTTAGCCCGTACTTTGTGTAGCATGAACACTACTATAGACTGAATTACATGTATATGAATAGTTACATCTTTAAATAGCAAACCTACCAGGTAGCTATTTTTAGCTCCTGTGTGTGCAAGGCAGTTACTTCCCAGCGGATTTTGATTAAATTTAGAACATAGTGCAAACATGATTAGTTTTATGGCTATATTCCCATGCATATTAAGTAGCTAATTTGCATATTAATTATCTCATTTCAGTCTGTGTAAGTAAAATCATCTAATCTATAATGCCATTGCTTCTAACTGATGAGAATTTTCATTTTCTAGGTATATTTTCAATAAAACAACAACAATAATTTCATATACACAATCACGTATGAGCTTTACAGAGTTTAACTTTGATACATCTATAAATTATGGCTCTCTGAACAAAGTAAAAGTATAATTAAATCAGATTATGATATCTGGTATTTGTATAATATTCCTGGTATGCATATGAGCATACTTTTAAACAGCAAAAATGTCATTTATTTGTTAGATATGTATTGTAGTAATTGCTTTTCTAGGCTAAATTATAGTGGGTGTTACTCCTGGTGGGTCAGAAATTGCTGAGCAGTTGTACAAAACCTTGCAGCTAATCATGTGCCAAACTGTTGCCCAATAAATGAATCTATTTACTGTAAAATACTTTATTTTAACTGTAATTAATTTTCGCTGAAAAAACTTGTTGTGTCTTTTGGAATTTATTTTCACTGATTATTGATGAGTTCAATGTAAAATATAGGAAATAGGTATATTCAGTGGATTTTATTTTCACTGAATCATTTCTTCAGCAAAAATAAAGTATTTTACAGTATGCATAGCTATACGATGTACAACCCAATAACCCAAGACTAGTATTCAATTCTTCCGCTCTGTATGAGCTGATTGTGTTCTCCCTCCCTAGAAAAATATATAAAGTATCGGCCAATTTGCATAACAATATGTTATTGTTAAAATATTGTATTGTATTCATTGTTATGCAAAAATAGTTCTATTGTTTATCCAAAATTTAACTGTTGGGAACCCCTACACTATAATGCCCTGGGAAGAATCCTGGAGCAGGATAATGACCAATTCAGTCAAGTTACCAAGGTTACAACACTGTCAAAACATTACATAACTGCCGAGCAGGCTCTTATCTGGCTTTGTCTTTTCATAAAAAAAAATTTCAATTTTTAAAATGAGTATCATTGTCATTAATAATTTCAACTTTGTTACTAATATGAAACATATTTAGGCAGATTACTGCAATTTAGATACATAGTGGTTTCATATAAGCTAGTTTTAAGTTAGCTGAATCGTAGTGTGTTATGTAATGCTTGGATTATACTCAAACTATATTTCAATTCATGTGCGTAATTGCCATTCATTTTTTTTGTTCATTTCACTTTTTCTCTCTCATACCCTCAGAGGGGATGCCATACAGGTTGCACAAATGCGGAAACAAGAACAGTTTGCCATGGAGACCCGTACTCTAGTAGACAACCAAGGTCAGCCAGTGGACGTACCATAGATTGCATCTGCATCTTATTATCATTGGCATGTACACACTGGTAGATCACCAATAAATGTCTTTTTTTTTTTTTTTTTTTTTTTTTTTTGCATTTCATGGGTGGGTGAGGTTAAGTGAATGATGTGTCATCCTGGTTGCCATGACTACAGTGCATTGTGGGTAAACCATGTATTGTTACTGCTGGAATGTAATATAATTGCTGGATTGCAATAACGTTTATTAAGTTGTGGTGACTTTTTGAATTTGGGAAAATTTAGAGGCAAGGGTTTGGGTTAGTTCTGGTCTGGTCTACATGATTATCACATCACTGCTGATGCTGCTTTACCCCAGTCATTTTGGCTATCGATGGAGGCTTCCAGCATGTGTTAATATTGATATATTAGTCCAGTTTCCATGCAGACAATATGCATATTGTTTAATTTTATATCTAAAAATTAAAATTTGTCGTCACCCATATGTATTTCGGAAGGAAATCAGAATTTGTTTGTTCAAATTTTATGGTAGTGCAATTATGTTTCTAATTTCTTTTCAAATCTGTTCTGAATTTCAGAGGAGATGGCGTGAAATTAGCTCAGCAAAAGAGACGAACTGAAGATGGTGACGAAACGCTGCAATATACAGTGATGCAGAATGAAGAATATGATCCCTGGGACAGTACTGTCAACTAGATTGCCTCTAGAGGGCGCACTTTCAACATGTTACATGAACTGTGTGTAATGCTTCTCAGACACTATCCAGTCAGTCACTGGAGATTATTTATTTACTGACTTACCATAGAGTATTTATAGACATTTGATGAACTATGTAGGATAAAAAAAAAGAGCTATATTTCGAAAAAAAATGTATAATTATTTGTAAATATGCCATTTCCAGGAGTACTAAGGTGTAAAGTTGTCATAGTAAGTGTACTTATCAGTGGCGCTTCATGCTCAGCTACAGTTTTTAAACCTTGCACACTGTACAGTGTAACATAATTCGCACAGGTTGTTAGCATATAGTCCTAATTAATTTTCATTTCTGTGAATTTCTTTATTTTAGTCGATGCCGCTATGTGTGATAAAGTGAGCTACTGTAAAATAGCTGGAATTTATTTTCACTGAAAAGGCTTTTTGGGTGTTTTGTGTGGAATTTATTTTCACTGGAAAGGCTTTTTGGGTGTTTTGTGTGGAATTTATTTTCACTGATTTTTGATAAGTTGAATGTGAAATATAGGAAAAATTTTATTTTCACTGAATCATCCCGTCAGCGAAAATAACGAAAATTACTTCCAAGTGGAAATAAAGTATTTTACAGTAACTGACTGTCACACAAGTTTTAAGAAACGTTTTAGTATCCTTCAAAACATAAAAATCTAAGTTTATTCTTTCAGTAAAACCAAATTTAAAGTTTTGAACATCCCAGTGAAATGTTCAAAGTTTGTAAGTGGCAGTATAAACCATACCTTATGTACTAAGAAACTAAACCATCGTTTTGAAACTAAATTGAATCAAAATGTTGACATACAACACTGGGTACATCATGCTCAACATAAAATGATTTTATGTAAGCTGTGCATTATTTAAATCATGATCACATGACGCTTACATACGATGGTATGAGTGATTCATTAGCTGCAGCCATAGAAATTTATCAAAGGTGTACTATGGTTGTCATGAATTGGGATGTTTTTGACCAATTATACACTACTACTACGAAGATGATCAGAATATAGTCGTCATTTAGCTGAAAAATCTAACCTTTCTTGCATGCTAATGTATCATTAGTACAATTCGTATATATAAATCAGATACTGATTGGATAGCTTGGTGTGGTATCCATGCTAATATTTCAAAAGCCATGTATAGATATTTGAGTCATAATTTGGTAATTTCACAAATGTATAGTTTTGCTTAAAAGAAAAAGCATTGTATGCTCTGAACACTGCCCTCTTCAGGCTGAATATAATAAGCTTTTTATTAGTTTGGAGAAATTTTCAATTTTTGTGTCTGTTTAAGTGCATTCTGATATTTGACATGAATGTTGACTCATTTAATCTAGAATGAACACAATGTAGCATGATGCCTAGCATTTTAATGAAAGCCACAGAGTATTTTCTTGCGAAGAAGTAAATAATGTTAAAGTTTTTTTTCCCTTTGCAATGTGAATACTAGCACAACAATGGAAGATATTTTCGAACTTATTTTCATTAATACGTTAGTACATTAAAATATTTGTATGTAGTGTAGAAATCCCGTCCATTAGATAACAGACCAGGGCTAAGATTTCATTCAGTGAAAGGTAACTAGAAATGCCATGTTGTTCTAGAGCCAGATTTCGGTCTTTGATTCTTGCAACTAAGTTGCATTATTTAACACATTCCAAGTTATGTTCTACGTAAAACAGTCTGTAATAAACTGTTTCTTATTCATGTAACTTTCGAGAGTGAAAAGCAAACCCTATATATAGACTATGTGCCTAAGACGATAAAGTTTATCATGACATTGTCGCTGATCAATGTATCGTCCATAATTCTTTGAACATGCTTTATTTAAACAATAATGAATCCACTACATTGCTATATTGGATGAGAAGTCTATGGCGAAGATAATATTCAAGACCCTTGTCTGAAATCCAATATGAGGATTCATTATTGTTATGTTATACACCACCTTCAGAATTAAACAAATGAAATGGTATATTAGAGGTTTACGTTATCGCATGATTATGTCGTCATAAAAACTTCTAATTAGAGGGGATGCTGAAAGCTGCTTGAAAAAAAAATCTTATGAACATTTTTTGAAATGGTTTCCATGTGATGATTTTGATGTCGTGGTTGGGCCACTGAATTTTGCATCATCCCATCAAATACTGTAAATAAAAAAATTGTATATTTGTTGACAAATGTTCAAACATTCGCAATAAATAGTTTATATGGGAATTAACTTCCCTTTATCACTTTGATGGGAAAAAAATGATGTTAGTGACTACAACTAATCAAGTTTATTTCAAAGGGATTTGCAATTATTGCATGAAATGTACACCATCTTTTAATCTGGTTTTAAACCAGCTGTGCGTCTTGTGTGTAGTAATAAACACAAAAAGTGTACGTTGCTTCTTTCATTTAGTTTGTTTATTACTAAAAAAAAATGTTTTCAAGCACCACAATGCTTATTGTGCAATAAGTGTACACATAAATACAAGGTCTGTTTGACATGTTCTACGTTTACACGACAGCATTCTATTGGAGCCGCACTACTGCTCGCACCAATTACCAGGAAATTATCTCTAGGGTTTACACAGTCGTGGTCGACAATTCAGTTTGATCAGAGCCGAACGAAACGGTGCCCTCAAATACTTAGTATGGAAACAACATGGCTGAAAACAATTTTGGTGTCTTGTTTATGTTGTTTTTTTCCATGGCATGATGCTGTTGAGCTTGGAGAAAAAAAAACAGTCGAGACAATTCATCGGTGTTTTGATTTGGGTATCTTGAATAAACGGCAGCTTAAATACGCTAAATGTGTAACAGCCTATTCGCTCAAGTTATTGTCATGTAAAATTACCATCTTGTCAACCTAAACCTAATAGAATCACGTGACAGTAGTGAAGTACTGTGACCGCTTCTACGATTTTTATCTATGGTGTCTTTACAAAGTTTCTTTAATTTCCATTGGATCTGTTCTGTCGTCCTTTCAGGTTTTTGTCGCATAATTCTGTACTTCATTTTTCTGTTTCCCCTTGAGCTATCAATCTATCATAATATTTCCTTACTTTGCAGAAATAGATATTAGGGTGCGTACCGATTTGTCAAGCCATAAATTACAAACTGTTGTCTCTGCCATAGATGAAATGAGCGGTTACTTGCAGAAGACGATTGAGGGTGTGAATTTGACCCTATCAGAGTTCAAGCCCATGGGTTTATTGGCGCCGAACTTGGCTCCAGCTGGCTCGAGCCATATGGTTCTGATAAGAATGCTGTCATTTAAACGTAGCAATATTTATTGATACGATATGTGGATACTCTTCTGATCAAAAGAAACATTCACTAATCGGTGAAACAAATGAAGGACATGGTGAAATCGTATGACACTCCCTATTTTATTGACACCTCAAAATTTAATATCTACTTTGTTTTAATCAGAAGAGGGTCAGTTTATTACATCACTGTTTGGAAAATTAGTTTTTAGCTCCGCTGTCGACTTTGTCGAGCGGAGCTTATCATATGAGTGATTGTCCGTCGTCGTCGTCGTCCGTCGTCCGTGTCAATGTTTTACTTTTTCGACTTCTTCTTGAAAACTACAAGCCTGAATGCTTTGATACTTGGTGTATATGTACCTTGGGTAGACCTCTCTTAGGTTTGTTCATTTCATGTTGATATCTTCAATTCTCTAATTTTGGTGAATATTTTTGTCATTTTTGGTAGAAAGTGATATTTTCGACTTCTTGTTAAAAACCGCAAGTGCAATTGCTTTGATATTACATATATAGGTACTACATGTGGACCTCTCTCAGATTTGTTCATTTTGTAATGATATCTTTAATTCTCTAATTTTG